CTATGCCACTCTGACAGAATAAGTGTTTCACTTGTGCCAGAGCAGGTAAAACTGCTGATACAAGCTGTCTCTCAATTGCCTAAAGTGCCTCCTTTGTCAGACTATCAGACTGCGAGCCTCTCACGCTGTTGTGAGATTCCTAAAGAAGTGGCATCCTGCTACTCGCACGCTTTTAAAAAAAATTCAGCTTTGATAGAGCACCAGGCACCTATCCACTTCATACTCAAACGTTCAAATCAGCTGCATTCTGATAAAGATGTGGCCTCAATGAAGCTCAACTATCTGCATGTGAAGTTTCCACTGGTAAAAAAACAAACTAACACACCAAATTACTCTGAAGTAGAAAAGCGTGTTTTATTGGCTACAGCTCCGATTGGCAGTGATGGAAACGTGACAATCTTGGAAAAAATGTTTTTCATCATATCCTGCAAAATGCAACACTGGCAAGACATTCAGTCGGTCAGTGTAGAGTTTGAAAATGGGACTGAAGTTAAAGATATAAAAGTATAACCATGGCAACACTTTCACTGGTCGCCATGGTGGTTTCTTCTGTTGTGTGGTGTCGAGTATGGCTCCCCGGGGGAAAAAACCAGAAAGGCTAGTGCCGCTGCTGGCATTGGGTAAAGAGGCAATTGCCATTTTTAGAAGGTTTACATGCATTTAAAGAAACTGCATATACACACTACTTTTGATGTAAAAGATAAGTAGACTAAATATTGCTAATTCAGATTTTCTTTTGAATTTCTTATTCACTTCTCATCCATCAAGACAGTAAAAACATACATACCTTTCTCCGTCTCAGGCAGTAGCCAAGTCTTTTCTGAGTTTATGTTTGGAAAAAGGACGTAGAGTTTGTGTGCCTGTGTGTTTTCCCACATGAAAGTACAACCCAAACAGCTGCATGTTGGGAAGTTCGAAAGGTCCATTTAAAAGTTTTTGGAGACAGAGCAGCAGGAGAAAAATATTTTTAGTCTGCAGAAGCATTCCTGTGCAAAGTGCATGTCAAGTATTTTCCTCTCGGTTCTTCTAAGTAATGGAGGCTTCCTCTGCATTGTAAAGCTCCTTGGCTTTTAACAATATACAGAATGCACTTGTATGTATGTGTTGGCCCTGCAGAGTGATAAACCTTTTCAATCCCTGGAAACGGGATCCTCTTTTCAGTGTAAATCAATCTGTATCCACTCTTGTATGTTTTGAGCAATGTGTGCTGAAGATGAATGTTCTGACTTCCATATTTTCTTTTGATTGTAAGCACATGTCTCGTGCACTGAGGTTGACCTTTGGTTCGGATACAGATTGTGTTTTGCCAAACCTTGGCTCAGTGCACCTTAAATTTGTGAAATGGTGTTTTAACTCTTCAGCCGCATGTTTAAAAAAAAAAAAAAAAAAATGAAAAAAATCAATTTCCAATAAAATAATAAGGAATCAATCCCAGTGGTAGAAACGCCGATTTTCATAGCAGCAGGAAAGAGGGGTTTTAATGGAACACAAGAAAAAGAGCACAATCTCCCACATCCTCTGTGCTGACACCAAACAATTCTGGAAACATATGGTTAGCCATTATCTTTTCTCTGTTTACTAGACAAAAAGACATGAAGAGAGGAATAAAAAAATGAATGAGAGGGAGAGAGAGAGCGTGTGAGATAGTCCTGGGTGTATTCAGTAGGCGTCCGTGACAGTGAGAGAGCGCTGAGAGATGAGACGAAGAGCGGAGACGAGAAAGATAATAGAGGTGAGAGTGAGGTCAAAGCTTTGGTCCGTCTTAGGAATGGAAGGGAAAACTTTTGTTTCTGCTCCTGCACTCAATCAGAAATTGAACCAGCCAACCTACAGAACAAGGGGCTTGGTGGAGCGCCGGCTTTATTGACAGTGAAACAAAATCCGCCGGCTTTTCCTTGACCCCTTTTCGCCTTTTTACCCCCATGGTAGATTTTAAGGGAGACTGAGGTCACTGGCTAGAATAATCGTTGATTTGCTCTTTTGTTCTCGCAATAACGGTGAGGAATTTGCTGCTTTGGATACATATTTGATTTTCTCTTTGCATAGAAATGCACATCTCTTCCACCATTATTGTCATTTACAAACCCCGGTTTTACGATATAAAAATCATTCACCCCCTTGAATAACTGCTGAAAAACTGCTAACAACTGCTGATACAGCCATTGCATGGTATATATGTCCATGGTATATTTCATCCATATTTATATATTTTTATTTTTAATATATTCTAACCCCCGCATGATTTTATGTCACAATGAACTCTCTTTTCACTTACCTCGTTCCTTGAGTGTATCTTCCAGGAGGTGGAAGGATCCTGAATTTCAGCCTAGGAAAGACTTCAATAAGACGATATTCAGACTTAATCCCAACCCTTACCTTGTCCCCAACCCATTCAGATTGCTTATGAATCAATTCATTTGTTTTCTCTCTCACTTTTTGAAATCTTAACCCCCTGCCCTGTCCACTAACTCACGGTCAAATATAAAATTTCAATTTAAAGTCTCCACTGCTCCACAATTCAAGACATAATTGAATTAGAGCTCAAATAATAAGGGGTTGTTGTTAATTACACTACAGGATTTCATTTGTCACCAGAGTTGTTGCAGTTATTCACACGCTTGACAGGTTTTTTTTTCCACTTTCACTTACCTGTTAAAAGTGATAGCTCAGTCATGTAAATATTCAAATTGGCTGCTTGTAAGCAGCTGGTATTAGTTTGACCTCTGGAAATAACATATCTGTCAATTTATTATTCTGAGCTGAGTATTTAAATTTGTCTTACAATGTGTCTGCAAATGATTCACCAGAAAGCGTGCCCACAACTGCCTTTATTGTGAAAATACTCAGACATTTTATTCCTCTCCATCATCTCCTCCTTGTCTCCGCTCCTGGTTCAGTAGCAGCAGACAGCTGTGTCAAACAGTGAAGGAACTTTTGACATTGACTGGGAGTGACGAGGCAGTGCAAGCAGATGTCTTTCTCTTTGCTTTGGGAGAAACGGCATCCTTGACCTTGTCGTGGCTAATTTTAGGGCTCGGCTTATCACAGCACCAATGTTTATATCTCCCATTACACACACACTGCCTGTATGCATGTAATTATGGCTGCGTTTTGCAGTCAGGATGCTCCCGGGGGTCGTGTTTGTACCTCGCTGTGCACTCGCATATCAAGACGCTGCACTTTATGTTTTGGTCATAACATATTTTTGTCGTGCATGCACAGACTCCCTCACATGCATTTGGCTTGATTTGTGTTGTGACGTGGACGCCTCCCTGCCACACTTCCGTGCACACGCTGAAAAGACACGCAAGCATCCTCGGCTCCTGCTCTCTGCCATTTAATTGTCATCAGAGCTGTAAAGCCTCCTTTCCTTTGTCCACTCAAGAGAACATTATGTATTAAGAAAACAGGTTTTTAAAGATTATAGCTGAAATAAAATGCTGAGGTACTCTAGCAATCAGGTATGTTTAGTGCTGCATGCCCCATCCCAAAGGTTATGGTACTTTAGTTAAGTACCACCCCCCAACCAGGGACCTTTCGGTTGTAAAAAGATTAACCCGGATCTTAGACCCTTGTCCCTGTGATTGAAATGCAAGGATTTTCTGCAAACTTTACCAGTTTGAAAGGCGACTAAATGATCCTCACAGCTGGGTGAGCACAGCTGTGCCCCCCCCCCCCAACCTGTCTGCCTGCCAAATCTCCATCCTGTTCGACCACTGTCTTTGTCAACTCGACTCATTTGTGCACAAACACAAGGACACCAACTTTCACAAACAGTTTTCAACATGCATGTTCACTGTCGTCTCTGCTTCTGTCGGAGAAGAGGACAAAGAGACATATTTTTCTGGCTCATCACCTAATGTATCATGGTACGCAGCCTCCACGCCCATGTCTGCAACAGGCAACATAAACACCTATCATCCCATCAGATTAACTGGAGAAGAAGTCAGTAGCCGGGCCGGACTCCAGCCACTGACCCCGACAGTATTTCCTCCTCTTATGTCTCTCTCGCTCTTTGCAGCTCCCTCTATATTTCAATGCTGTCTCTGCTGTAGTAGTTCATTCCCTGTATTTCACTCAAGGCCATCCTTTATGTCTCGCTGTGACTCACCGCCTCCTCCTCTTCCTCTCTGCCACAGTTACACCTTTATTGTACCTTTACAGTGGTAAGGAGTGACGGTATCTGTTAAATAAGGTTATAATGACACAACAGAGAGACATTAATGTACTTAAACATTTACATAAGGATCAAAGCTGTGCAAACAGGAAGCCGATGAAGATATAACTTCATTGCACAAGCGTCTGTGCAGTTATTGATTGAATCAGCGTTGTCTGACGGTCTCAGACAATGTGAAACACAATATGTACCATGTAGTTCAGAGCCTCATGGTTACACTAACAGTACAGTCACATTATGGATTTAATTTTTATATATTCATCTAAATATTCATGTCACATATTAAGTGATATATATTTCAATAGTAATGATCTGCGAAAATGAAATTACAAATGTGTGATATGCTTCTTGAGTGATAATTATTTATAATTGCACAATGATAAATGTTGATTTTTGTAATTACTTAAAATTATTTATTTAATCTAAAAATGCTGTTTTAACTCCAAGCTGGCGGCTTGAAATATATCGGATCATTTTAGACAATTGTATAAAACCCAAACATATTTAATTTACAATAGTATGAACAGAAAACTGCAAAAAGTCTCCTCACATTAAAGAAACAATTTGGTCGTTGTGCTTAAACATGACTTAATCAATTACTGTGTTAATGAAATTATTGCAGGTTTATTTTCTTATAATTTACTTATTGAATCAACAAATTGTTTGAGAATTTAAGTTAAATATAATTAAGTTGGAACTGAGGACAGAGTGAAATTTATTTATCAGTGATTGCACATGACAACACTGCTGTGTTACTGATTTTTATTTTATGGGCTGCTTACAGCAACAATTTTTTAATCATTACTTTCCTCCTTTCTCCCAGGCGGAGTTGACAGGCATTAAATGGCGCTGCTACAGCTTCCGCGGCGGCGGGGAATACGGCCCGGTGATCTCGGCCCCGGCCCAGGACGACCCGGTTCTACGCAGCTTCATGCGCTGCGTGCAAGCCAACCTGCTGTGCGTGTGGCGACGCAAGATCAAGCCCGACGCCAAAGAGCTGTGGATCTTCTGGTGGGGCGAGGAGCCCAACCTCTCTGACGTCATCCATCAGGAGCTGGAAGGTGAGAAAAAGAGACAGAGAAAGAGGAGATGAAAGATGAGTGTGGCTTCTCTCTTCTATCTGTCTCAAGTATTTTTCCATCTCATCGGGCTTCACTTCAGCCTCTGTTTATGCACTGAAAGTTCAGGTTAGAGGCTTCTACAGACTATATAATTTTATGGCTGATTTTTATACTGCATCAGATTTTAGAGACCGGGTAATGATTATGTGGAATATGGTTGTCTTATGGTTTTTAGCGGATTTTATATAAAACTTACTGAGAAGTAGTGAATTATGTGTTGTGTGTTATAATTAGAGGTACAACATGAATTTGAGTTGTACAAGTGACGTTTTATAGTGAAGCATAATACCTGAGTGTGTTGTACATGAGCTGTATTGTCTAAAGTATTATGTAGATTCAAGCTGTTTGGTCTTCTGCGGATTCAAGCTGTGTGCTGTTTGTTTAAGATGTGTCGGGTACATTGATTTGTTGTGTGTATGTGTATAGTCCTATATGTGAACCTCATATACCGCATATTTGAAATGTGTTTGCTTTGCAACTCCAGTGTTTATTTGCTCTGGGACCATCACTGTGATGAAGCTCACAGCAATAGGGTGGATTTTTCTCGACTGTATTTACAAAGTGTGTGTGTGTGTGTGTGTGTTACACTGAGATATCTCACTTGAGAGAGTGCTACCATCAGCACTATTGTCCCTATTTATAGAAACATTTGCATTATCTGGCTGTGCACGTGTGTAGAAGTCTAACATATCGACTAAGCCTCGGGAAGACAGGGAGAGGAGGAAACAGGAGAGGGATTATATCAGGTTCCGTTTCTCTGAACCACAGTCAGGAGGAGAGAAGCAGGAGGATCGGATGGAGAGGTTAGAGCGATAGTGAGAATTCCAGTCTTCAGTTACCTATTAAAGCTGACTTGATGTGAAAAGGCCTTTCAGGCACTGCAGCAGGTATTCGGCAGATGTTCTCGCTGCTGCTGGGGAGAGTCCTCTACTTGCACTGTGCAGGCATCTGTAATGGAGAAAATACAGCGTACTGTTCAATTGAGTTTTGCTCGCACCATGAACATGGGCTAAGATAACCTTTTACATTGCATCTCCAGAGCTCCTCTAGTTTACTACTGCGTGTTTTGATGGTACTCTACATATACAGACCCTTAAACTGTACATGGCCTTTTTGATGTATTTTCTATGCTTTTATTTTCACAAGTTTCTTTTCAGCCTCAGTCTGAAACGCTTGGTTTAAGCTTCTGTCTCTATAAGGTCCTGATAAAGCCACTCTGTTGTGATTGGTCAATCGCTTCCAGCGCATGTAGGAAATATCAGCTTCCACTATAGCTTTACCTGGCTTTGTTAGGAGCTGGACCTATCGCTGTTAGTGATGCATTATGCAAATGTGGGGCATTATGATGACACATGACATCACTATGCCGTTGGCTGGGCTATCTATTTGATTTTTTTACGCTGCATGTGGCTGTAATAATAAGGTTCAGGTCGGGTTCAGGCACAGAAGCAGAATGCCCGTCATGTTTGGGTCGGGCTCGGTTAATTTTCTCACAGATATCGTGACCTTTGACTTTTTAACTTCTCAGACCTTTTTCATATAAAAATACCCCAAGAGGAAAGAAAAACAAGAAAAGCATAATATGTCTCCTTTAAAATATCAGTGGCTGGTTGTTGGTGAAATCACACAAACGTATAGTCAGTGTAGTGAGTGTGTGGCGGCATTCAGAGCACAAATGTGTCACTTGAGGCCATATAACATATGTAGCTGTGTGACAGTTTAGCATTACTTCACCCATTTGCAAGCTGCTAATGGCTGCCTAAACCATTAATTATGGCTCCCTTAGAGAAGAACACTGAGGTTTAATACAGTTAATAATAATCTGAGCCTTTTAATTACACTTTATAGCTATTGATTCCTTTGGATTGCTTGTGTGAGTAGTGTAAAGATTTTGCCATTATTTTTCTGATTGCACAACATGGAGATGTAGTCTGCTAATGAGTGAACGAATAAATGGCTCAATTCAACAAATGTATAATGGAAAATATTTGGTTAATTAAAGTCAAGTGAACCATTTTTGGGGGATAAAGTTCTCAAAAACAAGCTCAAAATAAATTGAATCAGTGACTAGTGAATGTTGGCTGTGTGTTTAGCCGCTCGGTATTAATTTAAGGTCATAGTTCAGTTATAGAGAGCCTGTGTTAATGTAATATGGCTCTTGAGGAGGATTACTCTACAACTCGACAGATGCACAGACTCTCACACACATGCTGCCTGCAATTATGATAATAAGACTTCTTCACTCATACAAAACCTCACAGGTCTCCACGCACAATTCCTATTAAGCAGTGAAAATAGCACTCGGGGTGTGAGAAGGAGTTAAGAATCGTTCTTTAGAGTTAAGCTGGATTTCCCCCAAATTAGAATCGGTTGTAACACAGGGAATATCAGTGTTTTACCAAAGTGTTAAAGAGCTACTCGAGTGACTTTCTGTTTGCTGTGGGAATGTTTTATGTGTTAGATTTCTCTCCCCTGCGGTTCTCGCTGTTGTGTCGCCGCAACTTCTGCTTTTTGGTTTCTCACGTCAGTCTGTTCCTCATGAGATTCCTGGTTCGTTGACTTCTCTCCTGGTTTTTTGGCTGACCTGATCATTACGTTCAAAATAAAATATATTGATGTAATGCATCATGTGCTGCTACCTCGGGGACAAATGGTTTCATGTATCAAGACGCTTGCATTAAAAAAGTCAACAGCAGTGGACTCCTTGACCCTGTACAGGATGTCATCTCCCTGTGTCCGATCCATAAATACTCTCCCTCCCAGTTTTCCCTTTGGCGACAATGAAACGAACCGTCCATTAAAATTTCAAAAGAACAGATCATTCAGACCCTCCTGTGCCACAACAGTCACACATTTCTGACAGGGACGATTCACACGAGGAACGAGCAGCGCTGAGCACAAAGCGACAAGGATCCTCTCTCTGTGACAGATATGGCTCATACAGTTTATGGGGCTTGGGTATTGAAAAGAAAGCAGCACCGTGCATTGTTTGTTTTGCTCTTGGTGTGGCCCAACAGTTGAAAGGAAACCTAAATAAACAGTGAAACAAGCAGAACAACAGCCTGGAGCGTAAACTGCAGGAGGGTGCAGCCCTGCATACAATACATTTACATTTTAAAAATGTATCATAATGTGAAGTATTTAACTTTGGCCTCACAGCACATTCTAACATTCAGAGTAATTAATTTGAAAGCATGTAATTAATTATTTGAATTGACAAATATCAAAGCAGTGTGGATTGACATGTTGTTGAATTAGCCACCTAATTCACAGTGCTGTCTGCTAGCAGAGCAGTGAGTGGATTAATTTTCAGAGGGTGTGTTTTTTGTGTTACAGTTAAGACGAGGATGTTGCATAACATCTCTTACACAACAACACGAAAAGGGCCGTACAGTTTTACATTTCAGTTAAAAAAAAAAAACTGCTTTAACCACAGTTTCCGGGCAAAATGGGGCCTAATTATATTCACTCTTCATTCAATATTTTTACACCACTATTTTCCAATATCCCCTCTGGCAGTTATTACAAAGATATTTTAGAATTAAAAACCAAACTGTTAAACTGCTGCTGTAAATTCTTATAAATACTTCTCTAATTCAATTTTCTTTGTTGTTATGAACTCTGAAGTTGTCAGGAAGTTGTTGTCACATGTTTTTTTTTCCTGGGCAAAATTAAGATTGCTCAGAAATGGCACATAAACCTCAAAGGGCACTTAATGAGTCAGACAACGGAAGTGTTGCATGAAAATCTCTAATATTTCCCCCCATTCAAATTCATTAGAATTTTTGATATATTATTTAAATGAGCTGCATTTAGGTTTGGCTAACCTTGGAAGTACATTTGTTTTTGTATAATGATAAAAAAAAAATGTTTCAGTAAAGAAAAGCAAAACTAAATCTGGTGTGAAACTCTTGAGGTCTGCTGGTGAAGAAGCCATGAATCCTGCAGTGCGATCGCAGTGTAGAACTGTTGAACGTCTTGATATTGTTAGAAGGTGATGAATCATCGTAGCAGAAGTTACGTCTAAATAAATCATGCCTTTGAGATGGTGCCAGCAGCGTGAGCAGCGATGATCTAGTGTTACCTCTCTGCTGCTCTCACACTCGACTCCAGCACTTTCTAATATTGTCTTTGGTTCAATGACAAGTGTTTAAACATGATGTTCAACACATGGCACCTCACTTTCTTTAAAATCAAATGACATTGGCCTGTAATGTATACAGCATATTAAAGCAGAGCCTGAGTAGAGTACAGTTTGCGAGCAAACAGGATTAATGGGTTGAATGGACTGAGTCATCAGCATGTTGCCAGCACAGCCGCAGAGAAAGTGACATATTTTGGACCTGACTCATAAATATGATTACACACACACACACACACACACACGGGCGCAGGGCACATATACATATACAAATGAAAATATGATCTGAACCTTGTGGTTATACAACCCAAGTGTCACAGCAGATTTGCATATGCACAGACACGCAAAGGCAGTGAAGTAATTTATAGTGCAACGTCATCACACACACAGAATGAATATGTCATCGTTATTTGTAAAGCCGTTTTCAGACATGGTCTCCGGGACAAGTCTGGAGAATTGGGTCTGGACATTCTATGGGGGTTTCCTTTCACACATGCGCTCCGAGAGATCTCCAAAGCCGTCAGGTGAGAGAGGCGGCGCAGAGGCAGGTTGTAACATATTAATTCCACTGTGGAGATCATGTGTTTAAACAGCAAAGCACACTTCTTCTTAAAAACACATTCACTACAATATTCCAAGCTTATTGAATTAAACATCATTTACTAAATAAAGTCAATGTATTTTGTGACATGGACAGAAATGTGCACCTGAGTGCTGCAACAGGATTGTTCAGTTTCATTCATTCTAACATGATATTTTGCTTGTGTTGATGTAATTATTGAAAATACCTGCTCCACTGAAACCACCGCATTCTACTCTAAGTGTCATTTTATCACGTTACTGTGACAACAGTGATGTAAGACAGCGGTGAATTATTTATTGGCTTGTTGAGGCCGATAAATAATTGAAGTGTACATGAAGAGCAAACAGATGCTTCGGGTCAGTGTGGTGCGTGTGTGAGGGCGAGGCTGCGGGGGCCTGTGAGGGGCTGCAGTAAACGGCAGCATCAATTCAGGTTAAGGTGTTTCTGCTCTGAGAGAATGAATGACTAAAAATGTAGTTGTGTCTGGTAAAACCATGGCCTTAGTCACAGCCGGCTGTATACAGACTCACAGTCAGCAACCACATCACACCGACCAAAGGAAAGCACACAAAGCTCAAATGAAAGCCCACACAGCCGTCTAATTAAAGGTATTATATATTCTTTTGGAAAACAAAAATAGTGGCTAGAGACAAAGATGTTTGGAGAATGTTAATGTTCTTTTATAATTTGTAGTTAATCTATTTCACAGAGGGGAAATCACACTGGACAATGTAGAGATGCTGAAATGAGGAACAGAGTTGATGAAATCACAGAGAATATAATGCAACGGCACCTGACTCCACTTTTGGAAAGTACCAAGAATACCTCAGTATGAATCTGCTGGTACAAAAGGCATCATCTGTGTTGCATTAGGGTGTCATATGGGATTTGTTTGGAATGAAATGTTGGTTTGCTGTTTTTATTGAAACATATCCTAATACAAAAAGGAGAAGAAATTTGGATTAATGCCTAAATGTTGCAGTTTACTGTCTGTTAATGAAATCTGTTTATATCCATGTCTTGATTTTCTCATCTTACTTTGTAGTTGTTGAACAGCACTGTCAGTTTAGACAGAAACAACAGTTTATGTAATATCATATATTACAAAAAAGAAATCACTGTTGGCGCCTATTCTGTTGTGGACTTTATATTGAGACATGACATCAAACTGTTCATATCCTGAACAGTTTCCTGTCAGTTTTTCAGAAAGAAATAAGCAGTAAAACAAAATATAAAACATAAAACCTAATTTGTGATGCTTCAAGTGTGCAGTTTTAAATCTTGGTTAAAACCTGAATGACAGACAGGGTTCTCTATGTTTAGTGCACACTGTGTCCACCGGGATTCCCCTGGGTTTGCTTCTGGGCCCCTCCTCTTTTCTTTAGACTTGATTCCTTGGCCCTGTTTTCACACCACATTTTTTTCTGCTGCTCTGAGACCAGCAACACTTTTCTTTCAACACTCCATTCTATATGACACTTGGGGACTGATAAAGTTTCACCTGAGCTGAGCGGTTTTCATCTGTTCTTGCCTCCCTGACACCTCTGGTCGAATACTTGTCCACCACCTTAACCTCAACCTTGACAAGACTGTGCTTGTGTTTTTCTTTTGGCAAGACCTCCCCATCAATACACACAACACTGCAGTGACTCAGATAACAAACTGCTGTGGGAGCCCCGCATCAGAGCAGTAATCTGAACCCAACTCATCTCCCAAATCAGAGTATATCCACAAACATATTCCTGCCAACATCTCTGCCGCCAGAATTTGTCCTGAATTCCTCCTGTCGCATTGACTTTAAAAACAAAACTCATACTTTTATGTCACGACCTAGACTCCTGGCCATGCTCTCTCTGTTCTGGTACAATTGTCCAATTATTTATCTCTTCCCCTGCAGTGGCCTTGCAGTCTCCTTTATTCCCTGTGGAGGAATGACTTTCCCACTTGAGTGAGATGAGCCATTACCCCCCCTCCATAACAGCTTAAAAAATTTACATCTGAGTCAGGTCTCAGTCTCTATCGCTCCATTGTTTACAAAATAGATTTTTTTATTTTTATAAATCCTTTACCTTCCTCCAAACCATCATTCAAGATTTTCAGATTCATATATTATCAAAACCTATTCAGTCTCAAGAGAGTGATAGTTACAATGCTGCTTAAGTGTTCTTGTTTCT